TATTGTTTGCTTTAGTATTTGTTAAATTGTTATGATTTTGTTCTTGAAAAGCAATAAGTTAAAAGAGGGGTGTTTATAAATTATTCTTAATGACTATAAGAAAATTGTCATATAGTGACACATACTTTATAGTTTATAGTAACACAATATGTGTCATTAAAAATTACTTTTATCCATATAATAAATATAATATATGTTGGTATATTGTTAAAAAATGTAGGTATAGGCTATAGTGACACATAAAATATGTTGTTAAATCTCATTCAAAATCAACACTAAAATTATATGTAACTATATGTCAAACATATATTGTACCTATAGTGATATTTTTTGTATGTCAGTATATGTAACATTTCTTGTAGTATTAAATTTTGATTTTTAAGCAATGTGAGACTTCTAAGTATATCGAAACAATTTGTAAGCTGCTTAAGCTTAATTATATTGCTTGAGAGATAATTAAGTTGATAAAACTTTTTCTTTTACTTTGCAAATTATGCTAACAATCTTCGTGATTATTTTGTGTGTATCCATATAATTAATGAGAAATGAGAGCGCAAAATAAATTTTTTTTATGACAATGGTGGTAGCGATGACAATAACAACAATGATGATAATAGTCATAAAAATGACTTCTAATGATTCTTATGAAAAAGTATTTATCATTAAGTTTTAATTTCAACTATCAATTACTATTATCTATAATTTAAAGTTTATTATTTAACCATTTTATGTCTCATACTCATAATAAGACATGTTTTTATTAAATATGCTCCTTATATATATGGGTGAGAGAATCAATAACTCATGATATATATTGAATTTTTTCAATGACCCAACTGTTTGATTAAAAATTAATATTTAATAAATTAAATTTACAAATTTTTATAAAACTTGAAAGTAATTTCATTTTTTATTACATAAATTCAAATTAACATATAATAACAATAGGATGAAACGGGTAGCGTAGCTTCTTTACCTGTCACATTTAGTGTTGACATCCATTTAAGAAGTATTTATCAACTTTATATATATGTGGGTGGGAGGGGAAAGAGAGTATTTATAGATATCCATCAATATTTGTTAACATATAAATTTTCAAATAAAAATGCATAAATAAAATAAAACAAAACAAAAAAATAAATAACTTAAAACATACGTTTATATTAATAAATAATTTTATGACATATATTTGAACTAAAAATAAATAATTGTGATATATATAGTAACACTACAATAAAATTAATTATTACCGACAATTATTTAGTGGCAATATATTAATTGTATTTATTTTATTATTTAATAAAAATATTGATGACTAATATATAATGGTCACTAAAAATATATTTATATTACACCAAAATTTACTATAAGCGATAATTATTTATTTGGAAAAACTTAAGTCCCACATCGACTAGAAATAAAATAACTAAAGAGTATATAAATAGATGATAACTCTCACCTTACAAGTTTGTTTTATAAGGTTACATTAGACCTATAACTTATTATTCTAAATTGGTATCAGATTACTCATCATTATCAAACTCAATAGTTCCTAAACTTGAGGAGGTGTATTAGAAAAAATCAAAATCTCACATTGACTATTGATAAAATAATAAATAAAAGACAATCCTCATCTTACAAGTCCCATATCAAGTAGAAAGTAAAATATTAAAAGACAATCCTCATCTTACAAGTCCCATATCAAGTAAAAAGTAAAATATGTCACAAAAAGTTATACACTTTTTCCGATCATTAAAAGGATTTTTACCAGCATTCAAAATAATTGCTGCTAAATATTTTAGCGACATTGCATTCAATGACTATTGTGGAAATGTCGCTAAAAAATTTTGTAGCAATTTTTATTACCATTGAAAATCATATTAAATGCCACTAAAAATCTATTTTGTTGTAGTGTAAAAAATTAAACTAAATTACTTTATATATAATTAAAAATATTTTTAATATTTTTAAATTACAAATATTTACGAATACAAATATCTTATTATTCAAAAATAATAATAATAATAATACAGTCAAAAGTATATAACATTTTACTCTTAATTTACTATTAAAATGATGAAATGTAATAGAAGCTTTTCATATATGTATCATAATGTTGAGAATCTAAGCATAAATAAGGTTTTGATAATATCCAATAGGATAGGAGAGTTCTAGAATTTGATAAAGAATGAAAACCTAAGGAATTCGAATTTATAAAGAAGAAATGCTATTGCCACAAAAACATAATTTAACCTAAAGTGAGAGCTATGATAAAACATTATGGTATGTATAAAGGATTCTTTTTAGGTATGTTTAGGTCGGATCTGTCCCAGAACATGAAAATGCACAAATGTGCTCCACTTATGAGAGCAGTACGAATAATAAGATTATGTTATTCTCTAATAATTAAATTAAGGGCATTAGAGTATTGTAAGGATATAAAATATGGCAGTGGGGACCAATTGTACCAAAACAAATAAACCTTTGATTCTAAAACTGAAATTTTTGATTAGTATAACACTTGTCACGTTCAGACTGCCACTCAGCTAAATTATTCCCACCCAAAATAGAAAGCAAATGCCCCATTTCCATATTTTTAAGCACATTTCCCCTTCCAAACAAAACTGCACTCACAGTCACAGACATATATATATATACATATATATATATATATATATATATATATAT